TGCTCGGCGGAAAGCCTGCTTCTCCCTCTCCCACTCCCCCTGCTTGTGTTCCCTCTCTCGCTGTGTCTCTCTCTGTCAAATAAATAAATCTTAAAAAAAAACAAAATAAAAACAGAGGCCTTCCATTAAGCAGCTTCTTCTACTTCAGGTACTTTCTGGAAGACAGTCATGCACTCCCTGGCAAACTAATTTCTCATTCAGCCCACTTTGTATATAATAAACTTTAGTGAACAGCTATGGAACTAGAAACACTGTGTAGGGTCCAAGGGCAGGCAGCCCCAGGATGGGCCATGATGACATGCAGATTACTTTGAGCTGAAAACTATCAAGGTCCAAAAGACTCAAGAACAGACTCTGACCTCCCTGCAACTGCCTAAAAAGAATTTAAATAGAGGACCTCTTACCAGGAAGAGTTATTAGCACACTAAGAAACTTCATCTGCATAACTGGGCAACCTTTGTTTTCCAAACATCCCCTCACCTTCCTGCTAGTGGCTTTCCTCCCCTTTTTACCCCCACCCCTACCCTTTCCTTAGCTTATGCAGACATACATAGCTCCTTTTGCCTGTCTTCGGAATTTCGTGTCTGTGTGGATTCCCCATATGTAGGAAACTAAATGTGATTTTCTCCTGTTAATCTGTATCATACAAATTTAATTCTGACTCCAGCTAGAGGAACCCTGAACAGAGCAGAATTCCTTCCTCCCCGACAACTATAAAAGCAATTCTAGAACAGGATGAAATTTTGCCTAATGTAATACACAAAAGAAATGACCAAACCCTCTTACCTGTGTCCACATGGCTTCAGTTGTGTGTCTGCTACTTCGTCACAACACAGGGAGCAGCAGTTTTCCCGGATACTGACTTGCTTCAACAGAGCAAGGCGCCTGTGCCTGAGTAGAAAGTGTAGTTTGAAACTTATTTGGTCAATAAATAAATGGGCCTATTAGCAGTGATGCATATTAAATGCTTTGAAAATACTCTGTCCATGTGAAGTATACGATGTATTCCTTAAGTTCTGTTCAGTAAGGTTCTCACACGCATCTCATTTCAACCTTATAGTGAGTGATTTTCTATGGTAGAGAATGACGGAGGCATGGTCATTCCCATTTTACAGACAAAGGCATAATTCATGGAAATGAACTGCATAAGGTCACACACATGGTAAACAGATTCAGGAACCAAATTCAAATCTTTTGGTTCTCAGGCTACTACTAGCTTTATTTTACCAGCAAATTTTCACTTTTAAGTCCTACAGCTCTGAGAGTTTGATGAAAAGCAGCAGGAGACTTACCCAAGAAAAATGCACACACACAAGTTCTTATACAATTTCAATGTGTTGGGATGCCTGGGTGGCTCAGTCGGTTAAGCATCTGCCTTTGGCTCAGGTCATGATCCCAGCCACGCATCAGGCTCCTTGCTCAGCAGGGAGCCTGCTTCTCCCTCTGCCTGCCGCTCCCCCTGCTTGTGCTCTCTCTCTGACAAATAAATCTTAAATATAAAACCAAAACAAAACAATTTCAAGGTATTTATGATAGTCCAGCAGACTCTTCTGGAAGCCCACACACCTCAGGTTAGAACCCTTGCATCACACTTTGACTCCGTTTGAAACAGAAAAGCAGACAGGCAGAACTGCTTTGTTGAAGGTGCAACCCTGACGCTGGGCAAGAGAAATGAAACATTCACTCTGTTCACCTTGGGCCAAAGCCTGGAGATTCAGCAGTGAAGAGAGGAGTAAAAACATATCCCCGCCTTCAGAGAGCTTACACTCTAGTGAAGGGAGACTAGAAAGAAACTAGGTGAAAAAGTAAAATATATAGAATTTTAAGAGCAGTATGAAGAAAACGAAAGCAGGGAGGAGGATAAGGTAGTATGTACGTGAGAAGCAGGGAGAAACCATTTAAAATATGGCAGCCACGGAAGGTGACATTTGACCTGAAGGGTGTGAGGGAATAAGACCTGTGGATATCTGGAGATACCATCTGTGATACTGTGATTTATAATAAATATATATTTGGTCTTCATCTGGGTTCCTGGCACAGAGATCCTAAAACCCTGGAAATTTCCTAAGAGATGAGAGCAATACAGATCTTTTGTTATATTAATTAGACAACTTTTGAAAAGCCCCTAGTTAACCTAAGTTTTGGGCTGGTTGTCAGGGGGACCAACCTTGTAATTAGTGGGTTGGAACTTTCACTCCTCCCCCCACCTCCCAGGAGGGCAGAGGGGCTGGAGATTGAGTTCAATCACTAATGACCAATGTTCTCATCAATCACGCCTTCATAATGAAGCCACCATAAAAACCCAAAAGGAGAGGGCTTGAAAATCTTCAGGGTTGGTGAACATGTGGAGGTTTCGGGAGAGTGGCGCATTCACAGAGCATGGAGGCTCCTTGCCCCTTCCCACATGCCTTGCCCTCTGCATTGCTTCCATCTGTTCCTGTATTATATCCTTTTATTGTAAACTAGTAAGTAAACTATTTTCCTAAGTTCTGTGAGCCACTCTTAGCAAATTAATCAAAGATGATGAGGAGATCATGGGAAGACAGCGTCAGAATGGAGCTAATTGCTGGGTGGCCTTGGAAAACACACACTGGCCCATTCTAGTAGCAAGAATAGCAAGTGCAAAGGCCCTGAGGCTATAATCTGGTATGTTTCAGGAGCAGCAAGGAGGCCAAGGTGGCTGAATAAGGAGCATGAAGAAATGGGAGAGGGTAGGAGATAAAATCAGAGAAGTAATAAAGGAGAGGAGAGGACAAATCGTGTACAGCCTACTAGGTCACTGTAAGGATTTAAGCTTTCACCTTAAGTGAAATGAGAAGCCACTAGAGTCTTTCGAGCAGGGAAGGGCATGATCTGATTAAAGCCGTAACAAAATCATTCTGGAAGCTGTGTTGAATAGACTGAAGGGGGTCCAGGTAGGAACAGGAAACCAACTAAGGAGCAGGGTGAAAATAATCCAGGTGGGAAATGATGGCAGCTTGGGATGATGGTGGCAGCAGTGAGGGTGATAAGCGGTAGTTGGATTTGAGATGTATTCTGAAGGCACAGCTCCCAGGGTGTGCTGAGGGATAGGATGTAGGAAGAGCAGAAAGTAAGGTGTCAAAGATACTCTGGGATTCTGGCCAGGGAACCTGGAATGATAATGGAGTTATTAACAGATGAAGGAAGCCTGCAGTTCTACAATCCTGGCCACTGTTGCTGAGAGGTGGAGATATGGTGCTTCACTGTACTGTTCTTGTTTTCTTTTGTGTGTATTTGAAGTTTCTCATAATAAAAAGGTTAAGAAAGGGAAAAAAGAATGAATGAAGGAGAAGAATTAGAGTCTATACAATATAGAACAATTTACGAGATCCCAGATAGTCACAGGGCCATGACCTACCATGAGGCCAGAAAGGAATATATGAGTAAACAAATACAAGCTGCATAGAAGCTTTTGGAACACAGGCTGAAAATATTAATGGCATAGAAAACGGTCTCAGGCACATACACACCTAATGTCACAACCTGCATCGAGGTGCAACTGGAAGGTTAAAGGGTGCAAGGTAGCAGCAGCAGGTTTCTGCGGCCTGGATCAGCCTCCGACTCCCGAGCCGGGGTTGTTGTCAGAGCTGGTGCAGTGTAAGCCTGCCCTGGCCTGTAACTCTGCTCTCATCGGGGCAGGCTGCGGCGGGGGCCAGGCTGACGGGGAACTAAGGGACTACGCAGAAGCTGCCCATAAAATTCGGAGACTTTAACAGGTGACACCTATTGCCATCTGACTTTTGCCAAGTTTAATTCTGCAGGGGCGGTTCCCTAAATGTTGGAGCAGTGCGAGCGGAGGCCGGCCTCCAGCGGAACTCCTGGGGCCTGCCCTCCCCTTTCAAGGTGTACGTCACAAGGCAGGCCGCTTGCTGGGCGACATCCAAGATGACAGGCCAAGCAATAAAGGAACGAGGTACGCCAGACAAGCGAGGTATTACTTCAGACGATCACCAAGAGGAATTTAAAGTTCAGAATCTCTGTCAGGCACCAAGACAAGTTGAAGGGAAGTTCTAGGAATGACCCTCAGGTCCCTGAGCCGGTATGTAAGTGGCCCTTCTGTTCCTGCTATATTACGGAGCTTCTGCTGTAGCAGGCAAAGCTGCTGGGTCACCAAGTGACATTTTCTGGTTCATCTGGAAACTGCTGAGCTGCTTTTCAGCCTTGAGACACCGAGTCCAAGGTGAAGCACAGCCCAGACGGGCTGTTCACAGACCTGCTTTTTCAGACAAGAGCGAGGATTATAACATTGTGTTACAGATACCTTCAGGGGCATGACGGCCCAACCCTGGCTACAGCGTGGCCAGTGTGGTCTCCTTGAGTGCTGGGAGAATCTCTGTCATTGATATAACCCGTGTGGCATGAATAGCAGGAATGCCCTTCCTCACACAGGCCCAGCAAGCTGTCTGTTAAAAAATGATAACTTTTGGCTCATATCGTGAAACAAGCTTCAAGTTGAGGTCATTACCAGGAAGCAGCTGGAGTCTTTCCCAGCTTAAGGAACAGATCACGTTCATCTCATAAGGGAGGAAAGCAGGTAATTCATCCAAGGAGATAATTAAGGCCGATCACAATTTTTGGCAAAGGGCTGTGAAATTTTATCCAAGATGGCATTCATTGTCCTAAGGGCTGCAGAACAGTGTTGGCATCTTTGCCAAGTAGCTAAACCCAACAAGAAATATGTTTCATTAAATCCCGAAGTTCAAAGCACATCTGTTAAAAGATGTACTTGATTTCCTAATATTTAGGATTTTTCATTGACATTCAGGTAGTTAGTTTGAGGGGCTTCTTCATGTATGTGCATGTGTTATATTGTCTGGTTTTTATACCGATGTTATTTAGCTCATAAAAATTATTTGGAATGATTTCTTTCTGGGTTCTGTAACTTTTTTTTTTTTTTGGTGCGAAAAGGTGGTTTTATTAAAGCATGGGGACATTTATTAAAGAGCTGCTGTTCCGGGATTGTGAGGAGCAACTGATAATGTAACATTTTTAAAAAAATTTGACAGAGAACGAGCACAGAGCGTGAGTGAGAGGGAGAAACAGACTCCCCACTGATGTGGGGCTTGATCCCAGGACCCTGGATCATGACCTGAGCTAAGACAGACGCTTCACCAACTGAGCCACCCAGGCACCCTGAGGGTTCTGTAACATCTTAAATAGTAATGAAGTTGTCTGTTACTTAAAAATTTGGTGGAAATCTCCTGTGAAACCACCTGGATCTGGTGTTTTTGGGGGACATACCTCTTACTTTGTTTCAATTAATTTTGTTATAATAACTGGTTTGTTTTATCTCTTCTGAGATCTCTTTGAGTAATTTTTATTTCCTAGGAGGTCATCCATTTTACTCAGGTTTTCAAAGTTATTTATAAAAAGCTGAAAAAATCTCTTAAGGAACTGCTATTTCAGCTTCTCATGAGATGCATGTGAAAGTCTGCAGATAGCCTAAGCAGATTCCTTACCTTGGCAAAATGATTTTCTCTTCAGCTGTGAGGAAGGCGTAGTCATTAAAAGTGCTAAATTTCATAGATGGTGGATATTTGAATGGTTTTGCTCCAAAATTGAACTCACATTGTTGATACGACATGAAACTAGCTGCAGCAAAAAATCCAGATCTACAAATAAAAATGAGGACAGAGGTCAAGAGAATTCATGAAAACAAAGTAAAGCTCATATACACAAAGTGGCTTTGAGATGTTGTACCCAAGCAGAAAGGGTGACAGATTCTGTTCATAACCTAGACAGGACTGTGACCCTGACAATATCCTGCCCTCATCTTCCTATACCAAACTTCAGGACAGTTGTAGGTATGATCAGATGGGCCCCCAGTGACTTGAAATAAAATGACTTCTCATCACAACTGACCACATAAATGGACAAAGTCTTTTTCTGGAGGAAAGTGAACTACATGAATCTACTCAAATTTTTGACTGAGGAAAGCTACTTACACAGTAGATGAAAAGACTTGCTTCTCAGGAGGCAGCTGGTTGCCATTTAAAAAGAAGATCATTTGCTTTTCATTCAAGTCTAACAGAAATCCTACTGTGTCTCCTAGAGGATAAAGTGGAACATTGTTAGGGTAAGGGTATGTACTACTGCCAGGGTTTTGCTCAGTGTCTCAAGGGTTCAATACATCACTGTATTAAATCTGCATCTGTAGCTATGTATTAACACATTCATCTTCCTTGCTTCTTTTGCAGCTGATCTAATATTTTAATGTACCAATAAGAAGAAAATGCTGCCAATTAATCTATGACAAGCCATCAATTATAAGCTGCATCCCAATTTTGAAGATGTTAAAATGTGGAAAAATGGCATTTTGGGATCAGTGAAATACGGCAAGGTCAAAATCCTGTGCTACCTTGCCTCTCTGGTGAGTTTCAACTCTCGGAGATAACAACTGCCCAAAAACATGTTAAAAAAACAAACATTCGTCTTCACTTAAAGTTTTTGCCTTTTAAACTGTCAAAGATAAGCACATGAAATTATACAGTGGCGACAAGGAATATGGATACTCAAAGCTGGTGGAGGAGAATCTGCCAATAGATGGCAAAAGCTGTGAAGTCCTATATCCCCCAGGCTAGAGAAGTTTCCCTTCGAGGGGTTTATCCTGAGAAAACCAGAATGGTTTATAATACTTTTTTAAATCATAATTTTAAAAATCACAGCATCACTCTCCAATCTCTTGGGGCATTGGTTGATACAGTTTAATGATAAAATGGGCTACTGAAAAAGCCATTAAAAATAACATTATTTTGGGGCGCCTGGGTGGCTCAGTTGGTTAAGCGACTGCCTTCGGCTCAGGTCATGATCCTGGAGTCCCTGGATCGAGTCCCGCATCGGG